ACATAACTTTGGTTATATTTGCGTAACTGGGTGAACACTTAAAAGTTCTCGTGCATAACATTCGCTGAGGAGAGAGTGATAAACGGACAGGACACCGTACGTTTGAATGGTGTACACATGTAATGTCTGTAATGTATTTCTATTATGATCGCATGAAATAATGTACGTGTGGTCCTAATGACAGTGTCCGACCTCTTCAATACATTTACGTTTACTAGTTGATATACCTACTTATGAATGTTCTGTGTATTTAGTAATTCATATCTAATCAGGCAAATAACTGAATCATTTATATTAATTTTTTACAAAAATAGTTTTGAAAAAAAATGTTTTCTAAAAATACAAATATAATGAGGTACAAAAGTTAAAGACCATGATATTCAGTAACCGAGTGGTTATGATGTTGATTTTGCCGATTGCCTCTCGTATTTACAACCAGCCTGACGCGCCTTCTCGTGGCTAAGTTTTTCTGTAACGTAAACGGGTGTAAGGTAATAGATTCTACGAACGAACGACCACACAACTAAACAGACTTGTCGTTCATCGCTTCAGCAATGCAATGACGCCACTGAAACTTTTTTCACCACAAGAGGGCGCTACTTAAGTAATAAATTATCCATATCTAAACATCTTTAGATTATGACAATTTGTTCGTCTAGCGCGTTACATTCATGGTGAGAAGAACAAATATTTCGTTGAATAAGCATTCTTAGAGAAACCATATTTCGTTGTTTTTCATGTATTCGGATCCTCTACAATTCCTCTATTTACAATTTAGAAAAGTGTTAATAACATAAGATGACAAATAGAATGTTTCTCAGCTAAGACGTACTTTCTCAAATTTCCATCACGTGGCACTCGCGAGAGGGCGCTGTTTTTGAAAACCCCAGTTATGATATCAACGAATTTGCATATATTTTCTCATATAACTCCTCGTTTAAAGTTAAAAAGCATTAAACGCGATATTTGTGGCGTCTTGGCCAATGTATTGTGAAGTACTTTGCCAACAGATACTGATGGATATTGTTGGTGGAGCTTCGTGTCCCAACTAGTAACCCACCGTCAATAGAAAAGCCCGGCTATTACACGTACGTACACTTTTTGGCATGCAGTCGGAGAACACCATCTTGATGAAGCCTTGTTAGCAGCTGGAATTCATACGGATAATCGTGTGAGTTGGCGTACGACGACCACCTTATATCATTGGTGTAATGCATCGCTAAGGGCACTCCATTCGCGTTTATCTTAAACGGCCAGAAACCATAGAGGTGCAGTTCTTCACATAAAGACAGTCCTACACTCACCAATGCCATGCCTAGTTCAGAGAAAACAAATCGCCATTAATATTAAATTCGATGGTCATTCTATTCGTGTCTTTGAGTGTCGTTTCAATTTATTTAAAATATGACCACGTGGTATGAAGTGGGTTTTAATTTCTGCTATGGAGATTGAATATTACCCAAACTAACTAGTGGTGTGAACTAGACAAGATTATGGTTCGGAAAGGATAAAAGTACAAGTCTGAAATCAAGACTTGATAGGAATGGTTTCCAAAGTTGACGTTATATTAATGTATGAACTTGTACATGTAATTCAGAAAGAATACTAACGGTTTCAAATTGGTATTCTTCGAAACTCGATAACAATTCTGGTAAGGCACGAACGATAGAAATATAAACAGGATACAGTATAATAATATCAGATTATGGGAATTCAATGCGTGTTTCAGAACAAAGGAAACTGTCTATACAAAGGAAACTATGAGATGCCTGAAAGCATCTTGGGGTACCACGATTTTCTAGATGTTTACATTCGTCATGGGTGATGTGAAGACCAAAAATATTGTGTAACTTCAGCGTTGTCGTGGAGATAAGCTTTCGTTTCCACGAGCGTGCACATTACCATGTTTTTTTTGTTCTGTTGTTGCGTTTCCTTCTTGTAATGTATTATTGGTTGTAAGATATCTATCGGGACGTTCGTGCCAGGAATACGTACATAATATCACAGTCATCAAAATCCCATGCGTAAGAATTTAAAATTCGCAGTTTCTCAGGGCCTGTAGCAGAAACGATAAACTAAAAGGGAAATAATTGACGGCTTTTAAAGCGCGATGGTCGTCGCGCAATGCGTGTTCGAATTTCATGTAAATAAACAATGTATTTTACACGCGTTGTATACGTCGCTATGAGTCCCATATCGAACAGGACGAGGCACGACGACCGCCGCCCTTTAAGTAAAACGCGTTTATGAAAGAAATATTCTGTTTCACAAGGTACTTTTTTGAAGTCTAGAGGTACTTCAGTTGGTTTTTAACCAGAAAATGTGTTGTCATTGTGGTCTACGGAAACTACTACAAAAATAGCATTTTATGCGTATTATTTTCTTGTTTTTTTTCCAAAAAAGGAAAAGAAACAGCGATTCCAATGACGCCCCGTCCGAGTCTCTACAAAATACGACAGTCAGCTTTAGAAAATATGATCACCCTAAATTTCAATAATCTGACCTGATGATAGCATCTTTTTTGATTTCCAATAGTTCTCCAATAATTTAAAGTGTTTGGCGTCTGCTAACAATATCTGCAGTGTGGTATTCTGCTGCACGACACGGGCGACTTTAAACGCCACGCTGTTGTTAACGGATTTACTGTTTGGAATCCACAGCAGGGAGCCCTCATATTCCAACAAGTCGCGAGCAAATCGTCTTTCACTCTGTACAGAGTGCAAAGATTGGTATCTGTTGGTGTAAACAGATGGCATATTAGTTGATATCGTTATGGACATCATGATCAAAAGGCACAATATGATGAATACTAAACAAGTTTTTCTAATCACGAAGTGGCTGATGAAATATAAGTATCATTTGTAAAACGGTCATTTATTGTCTAAAGTATCCAGCGTCATTAATATGCAATAATTAAGTTAAAAATAATTAATTAAAACTTAATCATTAATTTAAAAAAAATTGTACCAGATGGCGAGTACATCGTAAGTTTGTGTGCATCCTGGATCAATCAATGATGGATACATAGAAAGATCAATGAGCAAGTTGTATTTTTATTTATTTATTGTTTTGTGTGTGTTTGTTTACTTGTATGTTTGTTTTTGTTCAGTTTGTTATGAAGATGATGTAGTTTAGCCTGTATAAACAAGATATCATAAATAAATAACATTCATTACACGTAAAATATTAAAGTTTACCTATCTCGAATTCTGGTTGGATTAATACTGGTTAAATTGGTCTTGGCTCCAGCGAGGTTGGCAAATCGTTGGATTGGTTGTAAGTTAGCCCTGTGTGAATCAAAACGACACATGGTTATACAGCTATAACGCTAGACTTGGCATAGTGAATATAGCCATGACGGATCATACAGTCGGTTTCATCGTCAGTTTTACTAAGAGACATTTAATCGGCATCTTTTATGTAACCATAGAAACATATGGGTTCACATAGTGAACGCTAAACTGGTCATTGACTGTTAACGCTGCAGATTATATTTTCAATTCTATACATTAACGCAAGATTCTATAAAATTGATATCACATGTCTAGGTTTATATCACTTGACTCAGGTGTATATATCATATTCAGGTTAAATTATAGACCTCCTAAGGTTAAATGCAACACGTTCAAGTTAAAGTCACTTAAAAGTTGTAAAAGTCTAAATCATGGTCCAGGTTATGAACATTATTAAATATTAAATATTATCATATGTAGAGTCCACTCCGTATAAATATTTCACCATACATTACTATAGTCAATGAATGCACAATTAATTAATCTCAGGCAAAGTTAAATAAATGTGATTTCACGACCAAAACAGAACATCCTCTCATCTACCCTAGTTTAAAAATAAGCATGATAAAATATACATTAAATATTTATAAAGAGGATGTTTTTGCTAATTTCATTTAATCTGTGTTTCATTTTGGAAAGTGCATATAACAATTGCGACCATGAAATGTGCACATTGTGGCTTACTGGTTGCTGTACTGGTTGAAAACATTCAATCCATGTGTCTCTTTGTATAACTATGACAACCAATGTAGCATTGGCCATTGGTACGTGCTATTGCATCAAAGCGTTGTGTTCTGTTTTGTTGTGAATCATTCCATAAAATTCTGTCTCAAATAAAATACTGTTGTCTTATTTCGTGATGCATAATTACCTTATTACGTAATCGTGGGAATCGATTTCTTGCCCACAGTTATTGTGTCTCAGGATACCACCGTTACCGACAACAGCACACGTTCTGAATAATCGCTTCGTCGTAAAAGGCGATACCTAGATGTACACATCGATTGAGACATTAAATGCGATGTCCAACACGTGATAGTGTAACGTGACTGAATACAGCGTGGTCTGTCCATGCCATCACCGTCACGTGTAGCAAATATACTCTTCGTCCGTAGATGACGTCACTGATGACGTGCATAATCAGATCAAGAACTTACCATCGGCAGCAGCGTCCGTTTATATTTATCAATAACAACAGGATCATCAATAAACGAGTTGTAATATTTTCTACCGATTGGAGATGTGGACTGCGTGAACATGAAGGTCGGTCCGTTCATTTTGCTCAAAGCATTCCTGTAAGTATTAAATGATATGCTTTAGGAGATTTCTAGTCTAGATATAATTATCAAGGTACATGTAACAACTGTTGCCAGTTGAAAGACACAAAATAAGTCTCATTTTTTTAAAAATAATGATACCCAAGCTCAAGACATTGTTTATTTCCATGAGCAGAGAACAAACCCATACTCTTCAATTGTTATCAATATTTATCAATTTCGAACCGAAACGAGAAATTTCTATTGCTCGATGAGATAAAATTGGACTATTTTTAAATGACGTCACCGCAAACTGCCAGTGCGCTAGTTTATTGGCTGAACTACCATGAATAAAAAGAAGGAATCGATAGTACCATATTTTATAGTACCCTAAAAACTAAACTTTTGTGAACTACTACGGCAGTTATAAATACGTCTGCCGCTGTTCTAGTTTGTGTTTAACTATTTGTTTGTTCGAATCAAAAGTCTTCATGGGTAAGAGTTGATGACGTAATGCTTAGTGACGTCATATTTGAACACTATTAGTTGTAAACATGGATCTTAGAAAACAGGGTCCATGATGTAACCATCCTTCACTTCAACTCAGAGCTTCTCTAATGTTCAATGTTTTAGCCATATGTTCATGAATGGTCGCCATTTTCGGAAACTGCATAGCTTTGGTCGTAAATAAACATTCTGTGTCCATGGAAACAATTCTGGCTACTCCGTTCTTTTCAGAATTGTAACACAACGTGAAAAATTAAAATGATTTAATTTTGTGAATTTGTTCGGTACCATTCTTCAATCTTAGACAGGTACGTACCTTATTTCCTGTATGCGTGTCATGTTCATTTTCCAATTTTCAAGACTGCTTAATATTGCTGTTAAATTTTTACGCAATTCGGTTTGGTATAACCTGATTTTTGAGATTCTTTTGTATGCGTGGCTAAGTACTGGATGGTCTATTCTCTTTATGACTTCTTGGACAACCGGAATGTCTTTGACAACTGTCGCGTTGATTGTAATATTTTTTTGTACTTTCTCGATAATTTCACCCAATCCACTGTTCCTGATATCTCTGAAAACAATAAAATATATGGAGAGTGTAACCCAACATTATCATTTATTCAAAAGACGGACGGGAGCAGAAACACGTTGGTCCGACCATGGAGGTAAAAAGAGAAGGAGTCACAGCCAAGCTTAGATCAAAGGTACCAGGATGCTCGCCGCTGTTTGTACATAGATCAGGGAGTTTATTTGCCGAACGGATCAAGGAGGACAGTTTCCTCTTAGCGCAGAGAGGATTACCGTGAATTAGCATACTACGGACGCCTTCGGCGGCACTCGGTGATTTTCGTGACAATTCTGTCAAATTCTTATAAACAAATATGGCGACGATCGATAACGCGCACGAGTTTGACTACGATGCTAAAACTGCTATGTCCTTCATTTCAGAAGACGTAAACGAAATCGAAGAGCATATTACAGAAGAAAAATTGTTTTCCATATGCTGTGAACGAAACGATTACTCGAAAACAAAAAAATGCAGCGAATTTCTTGTTGACGCACTGCCGTAGGAAGTGTAGGACATACAAGGGATATAAACTTCAAAAAGCGTCATTTCGAATTTCAAAATTCAGTCTCTGGTACAACGCGGTGCGGTCCATGCCATGCCACCATTGCAAAGATCTTTAGCGAGCTTTATTGTGGACTAAAAAACAGTACTAGCAAGGTTTCGAAACAATACAATATTGCTGATTCAAAACTACAACGGAAAATGTGCTGAAAAACGAAAAATTACATAAACTTAACAAGAAATTCTCTGATTTTCAAAATTCCAACTTTCCCGTTGTCACAAACACGTTTCCTCTACGTATAAAAGATCTGCGCATGCTTTATGTCCTTTGACATTTACTGCGACACCATAAAACAAGACCTTGGAATGTGTACTGTGCGCAGCAACGCTTGAGAGTAAATGACGCGTCGGCGACGATCCTGGGGTGAAAGGACGATAAGACAAAAGGAATTATAGGATTAAACTTGTCTAAAACAAAAGAAGTTTAAAAGGATTATTTTGGCTGTGACTCCTTCTCTTTTTACCTCCATGGTCCGACTGATTTATGTGGGGGTAGCAAGGAGCTCCTTGTGTGCAGGCTGTTGACTTGAAAAAGACTTGTTTGATGTTTGTTCATTGTATTATAACGCGGGACGTTTTCTTTAAAATAGGGGTTTTGCGATTCAATTAGAAGACCCGTCACAGTGCACTAGTATTGTCTTTATGGTTAAGGTATAATTGTATATGGTGATTTATTGTGCAGTGTTCTACCCGTAGAAACATTGTCACTATTCACACCATTTGAATCGCATTTAATTCCATCTAGTTTCGTTTGTCATTCATTTGATCACTATGCTTGATTCTGTTTGTTGAGAAATGGAGTCAATAACGGCTCTTACAAAACATGGATTTACCCCCTATTTGGATTCCACTGGAACAGTATACTTTACCTGCAATATTCGTTCCCGTATTTGATTTATTATTCACATAACTACAAAATCTTGTATTATACATCCAGTGGGCGTTGGTATGATCTTTGGACCGGTGGTCAAGCGTGATTTATACTACAATCTTAATCAAAATCGATACAGACCACATGGATATACTACCATGGAGCTAAGATATAAAACATCTATTCTTAGCTCCTGTATACTACTAAGATATGAAACTACAAATCACATAATACTACAACTGTTAAAACCGACGTGAAAAACACGACTGCTGAGTAATTAACCTATTATAGCAGTGCATTGTCTTGTTTGGACGGTGCAGTTTAAAACCGTTCGTACAGTTCGCGTAAGGGGAACTTTCTAACAATACTGAGCTTTATACCTGGCTCACCGTGTTGACATGGAATTGTGTCTTGAGGCTCTGTTTAGTACACTGAAAAGAATGTTACTTACGCATAGATTTCAGGCACCCTTGTGATCGGAACAACGTAGGTATTAATGGTATTAACACAGACGTATACAAGAAACACCGAACCAGTCATACATATTGCAATAAACAAGAACACCGTTGAACAGTACTTCCGTTTCGCCATGTTCTCACTGTGTACACTTGAAGTACTACATTATATCTCACACATACAGTAGTCACGTCACTATAGTAACGTCTGGTGGCTATGACACTGTCGACGGGTGACACACAAACATTGTGACGAGTAGCGATAATCTTGTTCTTGTTAAATCGGAGGTGTGCACCCCCTATAGGAAGCCCCTAGCAACGCTCGCGAATCACCTTCAGTTCCTGTAAACGATATATTGTCAAACAGTTGCCAACTCGAAGATCGCTGTATCGGGTATTATTGACCCAGGTGCTGAGACGACAATATGAGTCACGTAAAGGTCAGTGTGGCCATACGTTGCGCCCTCTTGCGTTTGCATTATTACGAGTTTTTGCAGGCTCGTCGTAAAACCAAGTCTTTTTAAGTTGGATTCATTGCTAGTAGTTTATGACGCGCAAATAAACACTACGCTACAAGAACGTCCCGACTTGATAGGTGTACTAACAATATACCCCGTATATATCAACCCTCTATATCCCCAGGGGACACAAGGCTGCCACCCAATATAAGACCCATATATACAGCATATAGTGGTATTTAATGTCCTTGCTACCAACCACGCCGCGTACATTTAACAAAAGAAGCAAACATATCATATGCTACATTGTCGTGAGATCAGTTTCCGATGAATTTCTTTTCGCCAGATTCCTATGATTAAGTTTTGTAGTAAGTTAATCCAGCTCTTATTTCGTGGATATATGTACGCCTCACGTGTGGACATTCACCAAGTGTTTTATTTACGCACGGGATGACGACGATCCACGTCAAAGAATCGCCTCTCTCATGTATAACTGTATACGACTATGGAGAAACTGCAGACCTGTCTTATTATAAACTTTATATTCGTATTTACCCAGGTTATAATCAAAAAAGAAGGGAGTGAAAACATTTACATGGCGAGTATGTTTAAAAAATGTTTTTAAGGCGCGGCTCCAAAGATTGCACCAGTGCGTCACGGGGAGTATAATTTGCATGGCCCGCCATACTTTAAAAGATACATGCCTTCACTTTCCCGTTCTTATTTTGGGAGTACTGGAGGGTCTTAAATCTTTGTCTATACATGCCGTGAGTGTAACTGACCCTGAACAAAGTTCGTTTAAAAAAATCGCTCAAAGCGCTACAGTCGCACGCGATAAATGTTTTCACATTGAATCACAATAAAATACATACCGAACAAACTAACAAATGAAAACACAATAGATTCATTTATTTGTATGATAAATACCTCTCTATTGAAAAATGAAGACATTTTTCACATAAGTTTTCTCAAATGTTATTAAATCGATTAAACACTGAGTCACGACAAAATATTTTTTCAGTTATACCAACGAGCATTAAGTAAGTACTCTGACTTATTATCAACGTGTCGTACTCTAATGGCCAGATTCATTAAACGGAAAACACTAAATATTAATGTGATGTCCGAGTTTACCCACATTTCCGGATCTTTGTGTTTACTTATAAACTGTGTCCTCTTAGCTACTTTCAGACGGAAATATAGCACATGAATGACGTCACATCACAGCTGAGCACTACACCGACCTTGACCGCCACTGAGATAATATGTGACTTGGCGTGTGTCAAAAGTTTTTATTCGTGGTGTGAAACCTACACAACACATGCGGACACCTGTAGTCTAAGGACACCTTCAGAATGAAGCTCCGTCAGCTGTTGGAATTCGTGAGGGAAATCATGAGCGTTTGTATAGGAAGACCACGTGATATCGTTGGTGTAGTGCATAGGAGAGAGTTTCCCCGTGAGATCGACACTGAACGGCCAGAATCCATATAGTCGAACTTCGTCACATAGCGACAGAGCTATACTGGTAAGGATCATTCCTGAAACAAAAATGAATGAACGAGTAATATTAATGTGGTGATTCAGTAATTTGTAATTTATTGCTTTTTTTGGAAAAAATAGGTGCAGTTTAGTCTTACTTATTTTGACCTTATTTGATCTTTGTTTTCCTGTCTTGACAGCCTGAGACTGATTCTGTTGCCTAAGAAGTTAATGGTGATGGAGTATCGAATAAACTTTGAAAATAAGCTTTTGATAATATGTGTTTTAATGATAAAACCCAGCACTACTTTTATCTCAAAGTATTGTATACATTAAAAAAACAATATCAAATCGTAATATTGCACGTTGCTGTGCACTTCACGAGCAATATACATCGACTGTCCGTTACATAATCTAAAATGCAAAGCTTCTTTATTTGTTAGTCAACAAGCTTAGTTAACGGGTATTTACCAGTCTGGATAACGATAGATCAGTGTTCCGGAGTAGCACGCAGGTAGTCGCAGTGCAAGCGACTCGGGAAGTGCTTATCTTATTCATTTTAAATTTTAACATATATATCAAACGACACGATTATTAAATTGCAAAGTAAATAATATTTCTACACGTGTCTTCTATTAGTAAGTGTAAATACAGTAAGATAATAACATCAGCAAATTCGCAATTGCCAACAAATTGGGAGGGGGTGATCAATTATTTTGTTAAAGTAATAAATGGATTCCATATTAAAAAAAAAATGGTGGTCCTTGATTCTGTGGAAATAACATAACACATAATACACATTTCATAGAACCCAGTTTTGTTTTAATCATTTTCAAAACTAGTCGATAATGTGACACAGTCATTGCCATAAGTTGTTGTGGCAAAACACGAAATGTTGTTATGTACCTATTTCAATCGTTAACATGCGACTGCTGGTGGCGATATGTTCTTAATATATAACATAAAAAACACCAAAAAAAACACCTGAGCATCTATTTTGGGGTCTGTGCCATTAACCTCAAAAGATGGTTGAATCCAGTCAATAAAATTTTCCAGCCATATAGCACTGGAAAACATTTAAACTATATGAAATCTACACAATGTATGAATACACAAAACCCGAAAAAAGTACGACTGTTAAAAGTAATTATTATCATGAGTTGATTCAATTCAAAAATAGCGATAACACGAAAAAGCCTTACCTGTCGATAGCATCTTGCTTGATTTCCAATAATCTCCAACTCGACTAAAATAATCATCGTCTGCCAATAACAGCTGGAGTGTGGTATTTTCTTTTAAGACTCTGGCAACAATAAATCCTAATTCAGTGGCGATCGCCTGACTGTTAGGAATCCATAAAATATATCCTGTATATTCCTTAAAAGCGCTTACAATCTTTGTGATATTGGCTTTAGAACTCAGCAGATCATATCTATATCGATAAGAAAGGAAGGAAGAAGGCAGTGGTGAAGTGGTTAATCGGCATGTTAGTCTTACATGTTCACAGGTTCGTACTTACAAATCTCGTTTTTGGCGACTTGCGATTTTCTAATTACATTTATGTCCATCTAGCCTATTCTAAACTTTTTACAGGGCGGTAGTCGTCGCGCTCGATATGGGACTCACAGCGACGTACTCAACGCGTGTAAAATACATTGTTTGTTTACATGAAATTCAAACACGCGCTGCGCGACGACCACCGTCCTTTAAATCAACATCTTAGAAAAGAGATTCGTCTGCTGTCTTACCTGTTTTTAACTTTACTTGGGTTCAAACTTGTTAAATTAGTTTTTCTTCCCGCGTCGCGTGTAAAGTGTTTAATTGGTTGTAAATTCGCCCTGT